TCCTCTCTGGGCTATCTCAAACTGCACCTATTTCTTCCCCCAACTGACCCCCCCCAACCGACCCCCAGCCTCCACAACAGCATGAAACCCGTGCACCGGACCCCCGCGCCCACCGCGCCCCCCGCGCCTCGCCATGTGAAAGGTCCCGGCGGAGAACTCCGTGACCGCCACCTGCGCGGTTGGCCCAAACAGCCGTCGCAGCCGCTGCGAGGCGCCCACGGCGCAGCTGCGCAACTTCCCCTGGGGCCCCGGTCGAGCTGCGTGGAAAAGCGGTGTCAAGGGGTGAATTCGGTCCATGGTGGGTGAACATGTGCAGTCTGGCGCCTTTTCGAGAGGAAGCTAGCAATATAATACATGAGTTACACACCACCATTATTACCAGATTGAAATTGATCTGTAAGAACTCAAACGCACCTGTATTCATATGTTCAAAGGCCATGTTGGGTGGTTGGTCGTCCGTCATCTGGAGTCGAACAACATGGTGACGTTGGTTTTCCCGCGGCACGGACTGAAAGCAACCATTACTATTAAGACTAACAAAATAAAAGCTTTTCAGAAAACAACTGCGCAATGCAGAATGTAAAGACAAAGCTACAAACTACAAGCATCTCGGACACGTGATGTACACATCGGTTGATTTGATGTGCGTTGATGTGTTTGCCAACGATCCATATGGACGTCCGTTCCGAGACATCTTTTCAGGCGACCGAGCTAAGCCCAGCTCCTGGAGTTATCAAAGGTTACATCCAGTTCGAACCCGGCCTTGCTTCAGTTCGAACCCATTCACTGCTCTTGAGATCCTTTTCTTGGGGTTCCAAGGGTATGTTTTGACCTGCCAAGCAGCACCCGGGACTTGCAAAGCAGCCGACCCCTTCGACCCCGAACACCCCGAAGTCCTACCGCCGGGCCTGTACCTCGGACAAAGGTGATGCACAGTTGAAGCCACCGCCTTCCACCTGAGGAAGGTGAGAGGTGCAGGTTCCAGTGGAACTGGAAGTGGAAGGGTTTAGGGATTCAGCCAGTTTCGCGGATACTTTGCCAGAATGTTTTTTTTTTTTTTAAATATGTTCGCCAAGGTTCTGGATCTTCCGAAGTCTCCAAAACATGTGGAGTGTTATTGTTTCACCAACATAATGAGGAGAGTTCACAGCCTCCCTTGCGACACAGCTCGAATCTGCAATGGATGATTGGGGGATGAATACATCGTCTGGCTTTCATCGTTGGCTCAAATGAGGAGTCCGTGCGTTTCCTTAAGATTCTGATTCTAGATTCTAGACCTTGTTTTCAATGGTGACTTCTTCCACTTGTGATGTTCAGGGATTTCCAGAAAAGGCAAAATTGACACAACCAATCCCAGGCAAGTTGCAGTTCGGCCATCGCAATAGCCATTGCTCCATGCCACATACCAATGGACATCCGCCACGGCCCATGTTTCTTTTTCTTTCTTCGTGAAGGTCTTGTCAAACCATGGAACTGCAGAGTGTTCAAACCTCGGCCAAGGAACAAACTGGGAGACTGTCGTCCATACTCACCAACACATTTTTTGGGACATCCTTTGTTTTGGATCAACACAAGGAACTCACTCAGTCACTCCACAGCGAAAGCCTTCAGGATGGAAGATCCTGTACTTAGTTTCTTCATTGACTAAGATCTCCCTTCCTCCCAAAAGCATTCCCCACCCACCCGCATGCTTCTTTCGTGTGACTGGGAGAAGGCCGTCTCAATGATGTTCACGTACAGCTTCACCCCCTCCTTGGGCAATTTGGAGTTCCGGAAATCCTCGGCCGTTGTGGCCAACCAGGCCAAAACGTCTTCTTCCTGAGCGAAGTGGCTCCAGGCATTGGTGTGCGCCGGCTCGTTCATGAGCGTCAAACCTGCTGCCGAACTTGGCGGGTTTTTGTCTTTCGGTCTTGGTAGGCCGAGGCCTTGGTGGGTTCTGAAAGGCCAGCAGATTTCAACGTATTGTTTTTTCTCCAGATTCTTTTTGGGTATAATCCCGGACTGAAAGATAGAACCACGTCGGCTCGTGCACAATGCTCCACCTCACACCCAGGATATTGGTAAATATCAGCAAGCTCGCCGCGAGAGATTTTTGGCCCGGGCTGGCCTGAACGGGGTAAGCCGTCCCTCGCGGGGCCATGAATGGTTAAATTTTCAGGCACTGTACTCCAAAGCGAAGGAACCACATGCCCAACAGTTAGAATGAGTACACTGTAGCGAGGCACCTGTTTCCACTTCACGGGCTTATCGGGAAATCTTAATTTTCAAGCACTGTACTTCAAAATGAACACTTAGAATGAGGACTATGTTGGGAAGCCCCTCCTGGCTTCGCGTTTCCTTTGGGGAATACTAATGTTTTCCTACTATGCCGTAACTTCCGCGCTTGGTGTTGCAGAAAGGCAAGACAAGATGCGCAAGCAGGAAAGATCAAAGGTACAGTATCATTAAGATAAGAGAGCGGGTGTTGCTGGGGCTGTGAATTTAAAGAAACAAATAATACAAAACCCTGTGCTTCACCGTGTTTTTTTGCCTTGGGAGGGCCGGGAACTAGGTAAAAATACAATTTTTGAGTGGACAAAAGGACTTTTACTTTAAAGCAATCTCTAGGAATGATACTTTTATACTGAGAGGGCTTTGTATAGAAGCTGTCATTTCCAAAGCTTTCCTCTAGATCTCTGGGAATGATCACTTCTAAATTAAAAGCCTTAGATAAAAGCTGTCATTTCAATAGCTTTCCTCTAGACCCCTGGAAACGATAACTTTTTGTACATGAAAAGCTTTCCTCTAGGTCTCTGGAAGTGATCACGTCTTTACACTGGCCAAACAAAAGTTGCGCTTCTTGAAACTTAAACTCATTGCAACCCTTATCCCCTAGAGTCCTACACTGGGAGACCTGGGACCGTGTGGGCGTTCATGTTTCACACCGGGACGCCTTTTATTTTAAGGATTTAACACGGTATGATATTTGACCGTCCCACACCTGCCACGCAAATTGGACTTGGTAATTCGATCCGCAGCTGACCCTACAGCGTTCTATGAACATGGTTAACAAGCACTTTTGTCTGCCTGAAGAATTAAAATGCTCTAAACAAAGGCTGTCATGTCCAAAGCTTTCTTCTGGATCTCTGGACAGTAGATTTGTCGAGATAGGTGGAAATTGAATATATCTTTGTGTTACTATAGGTTAATCTATATAGTATGGACAAATTGAAAGTGGAACTTGGTGAATTCGCAGCTTTTGGGATCACCAAGTTCCACTGCCAACCATCCAAGCCTTCTATTTCCACCACCTGAGTCTTTGCCCCCCCACAAAAAGCACCACCCAAACGGAAGCGCACCGCGCGCCATCCGTTTGGGGAACACCGACGGGACGTCTCCAGCCTTGAACGCCTTGCTTGGCCTTCTCATCCAATTGCTCCACCCAGGAGATGAGTCCCTGCACAACCCAACGGCCCACGGTGCTGAGCAGCACATGACTGGAGGCATTCAGCTTGCTGTGCTCGCGCCAGAAGACGGGCTTGTTGGGCCAAATGCTATTGTAGGTGCCATCCTCCGGTTCTCGGAAGGCTCTGGATATGCGCGGCTGAAACAAAGCGGAGGTCTGCGGAGGACGGAAGACAGAAGACCGGACGGGAAGCCCTCAGAGATGTGAGGCTGGGATGCGGAGAGCGACTAAGCTTGAACCAAAATAGGGCCCTGTTTCGGGTCACAGAGCGACTAGTCGCTCTTCTTGTGAGGTTAGACCATCTTCTGTTTTCATTCTGAAAAAACACACACAAGCACAGAACTAAGCACAGAATAGATTTGTTGCACAAAACCAAACATTATTATGCATTTTGGACCGTACAGTCGAGCACTCCTGGGAGCCTCCTGGAAAGGAATGCAAGTCGAATATCACCTGGCGCAGATCGGACGCACCAGTGGGGATCGAGGTGGTGGCAGTGGGTTTTATCAGCACCCGCCGACATCGCGAAAGAGATCCAAAGGAACTGATGACTTGGAGTGACTCCAAGTGACAAGTGGGTGACTCCACGAAAGAGAGCCTTTAAAAAAAACGATTCTGAGTCTGGATTCCCTTCCAAAGATATCCTGCAGATAGACCTTCTTCTGTTTTGGGACCTCCCCCCAAAAACATCCTGCAAGAACCTGTAAGCAGAACCGTGGATCCTGTCGGCATTTCAGGATGCAGTTCGTGAGGCCGTGGTCCCATGTGGTTTGTGCTTGGGCCATGAGTGTGTCGAATCTGAGGCTGGCAGCAACTGGCAGGAGGTCACCATGAGAATTTTCCACATCTCACATCTGATGTGTTCAAGATCACAAGTTTTAGGACATACGTTATAGGACATAAGTTTTGGGATCTCCGTCGTTTCCGGGAGTGCCAGGACCAGCTGGTAGCCTACACCCACCAGCCTTTGGCAGTCCCACATCACACATCTCATGTCAATCTATACACCTCATGTTAAACAAGCAAAACGACATATTTGATGGGTCTCTTTCACCAACACTGTGACTCTTCAGATCCCCCCAAGAACCACACCGACCTCCGACTCTACCCCTTTCTACCGGTGACACACCGGTGCCTTGAGGTCTTTCTCTGCGGCTTTTCGCAAGAACTTGGCCAAGAGTTCGCGAGGGATGGTGACCAGCGAGACCTACGCGCGCCCGCACGAACTGCTTGGGGTGAGATCGGGAGTTCGGCATGGTATATTTCGGCAGGGTCGGAGGACACGAGCTGCTTGCTTGCGCTGCTTCTCTTCAAGCTATACATTAAATTTCCAAGCAACTAGACTAAACATCACCAACTTCAACGACACACTGGGGTGCGATGCCTTGTCATGGTAGAAGGGATCCGGCACCAAGGTGCTCTCGCGCTCTGGGTCGTAGGAGCTATAGATGCCATCAAGGGGTGCTAAGGCATCGGCAAAAGCCGCCCACGTCAAGGGCAATCGAATGGTGCTGATCCCGTTCCTCACCGCGAAAGAACACAAACCGGAGTCGAGTGATTTCACAGATGAAATGCGATGAGTGTGCGCGTCCCAACTAATGTGAGCCAACGGTAGACTACCACCAACCAGGACTCACAAGGGGTGCTCAATGGACGCCTCGAATGACCTCTTTTTGGGGCTATAAATAAACGTAGACTCCCCTTCAAAGGTCTTGGCTACCAATGTGGCAATGATAGTTTTTGAGCCTCTTGACATGCCAAATTGCTGGCCAGGTCCAATGAACATGCATGTTGGATTGAGTTTTCATGCCAGCATCAATCCGTACATGTGCACCATGTGTGAACGGAGTGGAAGATGTAGAGCTGCTAGGAGATTGCATGTGTATAGTCTTCAGATGTCTTCACAACGTCATGATGTGTGTGTGTGTGTGTGTTGGCTAACGGTGGACTGAAACATCATGAGTGTGCCTTGCCGAAGCTCGGTGACAATTCAGAGACGAGACGTGACGAGACCGTCGGTGTGCCTCAGTCGCTCCAAAAGATTTTATGGACAAGTTCCAACATCACAAGTGCATCGTTCTTCTGCGTGTCCTACCTGTTTTTTTTTCACATCAGAACGATTGGACCATACAAATCGATGTCAAGCGGACGAACCGGTGACGACTCGCTTCGTCGAGTCTTGGGCGGACGAACGGCCGGCACCGAGCAAAACGCGGATTGGCCCGAGCGTCTGGGCGATCTGATCCAAGTCAAAGTCTGTCATGAAATACTTTCGGTGCTCTTCAAAGATCTTCAAAGTTTCCTCCTGCCGAGCAAAGATGGATGCCCACTTAGACAGAGGGGAAAAGCTATCAGAGAGGTGTGCGACCCTGAGGGTCGAAGAGAGGTCGAGAAGAAGAAAGCCTCCGGAGATGACCTTCCTTGCTCCGTTGGTGAGCATCATGTTCTTCTAAAACTAGCGCTGTGAGGATCCATCAACTCCCATGACATCACGATGAGAACAGTTGCGACATGTTGGGAACTCGTTCGCAGGGCAAGCCTGTAACAAGCAACAAGGCAGGCAAGGTGGTTCAAAGCAAAGCGTTTCATAGGGGTTCTGCCTCTTTATCTGGGTTTTACCTGCGAGTCGCATTCGCCACGTTTCAAGTTTGCCAAATTGAACTCAGCATCTGAGTCCAAGAACTACAGTACCCCAAGCTGAGTTGACTACCTTTCGCCCACTACAACGAGTCCACGTGCGCGCACGCATGTGTAGTGATCATGTCAGCTCTCCTGCCCTTTGGTTGCATTCAAGTGGTGTGCCAGGACACCCTCCGAGGGCCAAGGCTCATCGGCATGTGACAAGCGAGGAGGTAAGCACTGGCCCTGACCCTGCTTCTGGGACATCACAAAACCTGGGCAAACGATGCAAAGCGACTGACTGGCCCATGGCGGCCATGCGGTCGAACCTCTGTCACTCACCTGATCAGATCAGGGACTGGTGCCAGATTCGTTGGACTCCTCGCTGGGCGATCAAATGTTCCAGTTCAAATCCCGCAATATCCAAATCCTCTGATTCTGCCAGGGTTTCTGGTACAAAAAAGACAACAAAGGTCAGGTCTGATCAAGTGAGGATCGATATTTCCCGAACACAGCCCCATGAGATTGGGGAGCCTTTCTAGCTAACCCGGGAATTCTTTTTCTGGACTATTCTTTTGCCCCAAGAACCCACTTTTTAACCCGAACCCAGGATATGGAAGACTTTGAAGGAGGCAAGTGCCTGTTCGGAACACACCACTTCACCACTCCCTAGGTCCACCAATTCGTGAACCCTTTGGGCCATCGGTTCACCCCCAAGGATCTCCCCGCGGTGTGGGGGCTGGTCTAGTTCACAGCAGTTCACAGCAATGCTACAAAAAGCGTCCATTCTATATGGTGTACCATATATTCTATGCTAAAAACATTCCCTGACTGAAGTGCATTCTTGCCGCAACGTTGCTGAGAACGCTTTGCAATCGAAACCCAAGGCGTGTAAAACCGAGGCTTACTCAGCCTTGCGAGCTGTTGGGATCCCACAGTCTGCATCCACCGTCAAGGAGCTGCCAGAAGAGCCGGAGAAAAACCAATCTTCCAGCACCAGCCAACCTCCAAGATTCACACCAGCACCTGCAAAGATCTTTTTCTCCGAAACTCCGAGTCCAATGGACCAACATTGAGTCCAACAGTTCACAGTTCAGAGTCATTCAAAAGCAACAATTGCAAAAGCTAAGGAGTGACCACCCCAACCAAATTGGGCCAGCCAGTTGGAGTGTCATTTGGGCCCCACAGGTCTCACTCCTCCACCATTTCACCCCACCTTTTGGCATAGTAAAGAGCTCCGTCACTGCATCATCGTACATGCGTTCCATCGTACCTGACTGTCGAACACCCAAGTAGCCCACGGCGCACAAGGAGCCGACCGCGATGAGGGCCACGGTGAGCCGCTTGGCCCATCGCCTCGTGCGTTCGTTCGGCATCGGCATGCAGAGACCGGGCAAGAGGGAAGGCCTCTCCAGTTGCAAAGAGACGGGGAGAGGGATTGAAGTGGATTTAAAGGGCTATGATGTCTTTTAAATCAACCTCAGGATGAGTAGTTTATGATATGAGCTTCACAGGAATATCGGAATATCCAATGGATGTGCATACCAATCAGGGCATCTTTATCACGATCATGTGTTTGATCTGTTCAACCTTCTGTCTCTCTGAAGGGAACCCACCGGCCGCCTTGCCCCACCCAGCATCCATATCCATGAACTCTGGCACCAGCTGACCAGCTGACCAGCTGGCGCAAAATTTCAACACGCAACATAAAGCCCTCCTGCCAGGAGTCGCACAGGGGTGCCTATTGGAGGATAGGGGTAGCCCACTGGGTAGCCCATTATCCACTCACTTCGGGACCCAAATCCACCCCGAAGTAAGTGACTCCTGGTGCATTCTCTTGCATTGGTCCTCTTTAAAGAGACCAAGTGGCAAGGGCTGGCTCACTGAGTTGACCTCTTTGAGAACACCGCCCTCTAAAGCTTCCAGCTCCTCTGATGAGCAATCCTCCATCATGGCCATGCGATCGATCGATCTACGCAAAAATCAAAGGCTGGAGCCAGGACGTTTGGCATCAAACACGCATATATACGAAGTGCAAATGGACGGTGTGTGCGGAAACGGGGTCAGCAAAAACTGCTTATACGAAGTTGGTGCATCAAGAATACCTTTCACAAAGTTCTGCGAAGGTTTCTGGGTGTTCGTTACTTCCTACGAAATGGAAACCTCCACGAATAGCCCCGAGTTGCACGAATGTCCAGGGCCTTCCACTAAAGATAGTAGAATAGAGGTTTTCGCAAAAGCCTTTCTGTGCACTACCGCACTACCCTTCCGCTTGCCTCTGAATGTACAGCCAACAAATCTTTAGGGGCTCTTTAATGTTAGCAAAAAACATATGCACACCACTGAATATGATGATACACACTGATGATACATTTACAGCATCATCCACTATTTGAGCCTATTAGGACAAACTGCACTTCATCCACTATTTGTAGGACAAGGGATGGAAAAGGGATGGTGTCCCACCAATTCTGAGATGATCCGCGGGCATCTCAGGGGGCCTCCTAGACTACATGTACCAGCATATGCCCTTCGTAATCAGGTGATTTTGTAATCAGCAAACCCAAGTTGTATCATGTTGTATCCAAAAATGACTGGTCAACATGGACTTTCCGAACCTCTCACACTTGCTCCGCCACGGCCAGGGCGCGTGACCGCGAGACTGCGCCGCCAAGTCGAGCAAGACCAAGGCCTGTGGCGTGTGACTCAGGCAAACACGTGGCGGGTACTGCGCGCTCGATCTGGGGCCTTCAACGAACTCCACACTCAGTTCCTCATTGGGCTATGCCAACACCTTGTTTTTCTTGACGCTTCATTGCAGGGTATGGCTGGGGACTTCGAACTATCCCAGTTCGTTCACCTGGTCAAACTCGATCTTCTCGACTCCTTTCGGCCCCCCCCGTTGCGTCTCTGGAGGCCAACTCCAAGGAAGACCTCGGACGGACGGACGGACCACGGACGGACCAACACGCCAACCTTCGGGAGGGTTTCCACCAGCACCAAACAGGTGAGTTCAACCAGCACCAAACAGGTGATGTTCAAGATGTTCTGAAAAGTCACAAGATTGCTATTTGAGGTGGATAGATATATGTCATTGATCGACTTTGGTATGAAGTCTCCTGTTATATCCCAAACGATCTTGGACCGTGTTTCGCACCTGGAAAGGTCATGCTGCGTTGTGAAGGATTCCGAGAGGGTTGTTGCTACCGGCATCGATTCATCTCATAATGAGCTCATATAATTACTGCTGTTCATTATAATATGTAGAAATTCTGATAGCATCTGATAGCCAAACAGCTTTGTGTGGAGCCACAGGCTATTTGCAAACAAACACAAAACACAATCAAACCCTACTTTAGAACAAGCATCTCTCAAGCTGTTGTAACGACTACTCCTCTAATAGGCTACCAGTACCGTCAATGCACGTTTATTTGTGGATGCATAATTAGATCCGAAGCCAAGCTAATCTTCTCAGCTTTAGCTTGAAAGGTTTCCGGACAGAGATATACTCTCCAAAGGCGCGGTGGTTTGGTCTCGATTGGAAACACTCCGATTTCGCCGTCTTCCACATCCGTCCGCTATGCCAATCTCAAAATGAACCAGTGACAGTCATTCATGGAAAATGATGCAGTGCAGTTCCTGTGGTGCCCCACCATTCCGTGGAGATCTTCGGGTCGAAATAATGGCCAACTCCTCAGTGAGATTCGCTTTTCTGAAGAACATGATTCTTGTGTATGTTTGGTCAAGTCTCTCAATATCAATTGAAACAGGTAAAAGTATGTAAAAGCAAGTCTCTATAATCAAGATCTGGAAGGCTGGTGCAGCATCAGTTCGTCCAAATTCTCGTTAAACGATTCGGAAGGGAGGAACACCATGTTGTTCATGCATGCGGATCTTCTTATGCATCATCTCATTCAAGACGAACACTTCTTCAAGGGCCTTTGAACACTAGAAGTCACTAGAACTTCACCTCCAGAGCTGGTCAAACAACGAATTAGCAATTCTTGAAACGTCCGAGTCATCGGAGCAGTGACCAGCTCCGAAGGTTTTCTCCGTCCTCTCGGGGGCGCCTGGGCGGCCCAAGTGCCGCAGCGTTGGCGCATAGACCTTGCGGCGGGAGCGCTGACTCGGATGGATCCGAGTCCGCGCTCAAGCGTTCGGTGTCACATGGTGACACAAGAGGGAACATGTTAACACGCAAGGATTGGGTATATCGGTATATCTCATTCCCTGTCAAAGTGGATGATTGATTGGTAAAGGCCTTCCGTCTAAAATATCGTGATTTCTTTAAATATTACAGGTCGGGGGTGTGGTTCAGATCTGGGATTCCGCCTGGTCGCCCATGGCTCCACATGGTGTCCGTTTCAGCCACTTGGAGCTGCACCACTTGCCAAAGGGCTCGGCTCGCCTGGTGTAACACCTGGTCACCACGAAGTGGGCCCCGTTAAATCGAAGAGTTGGAGTCAACCAAAAGCACTGGTAAGTCACAGGTTGATCTTACCATAAGTCACCGGAAAAGCACAGGGGACTTGCATGAAAAAAATCCAAGAATCGGGGCATTGCATCACCCACCTCATCATCCCTTCTCTTTCACCATCTTTGTACTCTTGCGGGACGTGCTTATCTTCTGAAGACCCTGCAACCAGCTACAGTAGGGTCATTACGACCATGACACACACACACACACACACATCCATCAATCCAAATCCACGGGTCGCATCGCGCAGGTCTGTCGGCCTGAGGTGTAACTCCTAGCTACGCGTCCATCGCGCGCCGCGAATCAAACATCGAAGGTTACAGTGGTGTCTGTCACACATGCACCGCAACAGTGCAAACCAAAGTGTAGGGAGTGACCTTTCGCATAGGGTGGACTAGATTACACTGGAAACTGAGGCCTATCTTCAGCAAGTATGTAAGAAGATGTAAGAAGACTCATTCAGGCTGGAGCTCATTCCATTACCCCATTTATTGCTATATTGGCAGACAGATTGGTATGTATTGAATATACCAAACAAGCTGGTCATTTCTCCGACCGATGGGCTATAGGTGTTTGTTTCTTTCTTCTGACCGACTGGCTGCCGCGTCGTTTCCTTCGGGTCGCCGCGTCGTTTCGTTCGGTCTCCGGTCTCCTCGGTCGACGCTGGTGACGCCATGCACCTGGAGCGACGGTCCAGCGCTGCGAGACGCGCAGCGCGTGGAGATGCGGGAGGGTCCGCGAGGTCTGCGATCGGCCCGTGTGAGGAGGAAGGAACCCAAGAAGGACATGGAGGATCTCGACCGAGCTACCAGTGGAGATGCCGGCACATGTTCCGAACTCTGATCCGGTTCCTGAATTGAACCGCAAGATATATCTACAGAATAGAGAGATCCAATCATCTCAACGCTCAACTCCTCGGTCTCTCAGTCTCTCCCAGTTGCAGGTCATGGAACAGCAGTGGCCACTGCAGCTGTGAGATCTCCTGAAGTGACATTTCAATGTTTTCGGGCACTAACCGCAACATTCTGAGAATCCTTCCGGGTTTTGTCCACAGATCAAGTCAAACACAAAACATGTTGCTTTGAACAACATCTGCACAAAGGCCATTCACATCCTGCTTGCTTCACATCTTTGCATTACACCCGCAGTCTAGATCGGCTGCACTGAACAATTTGAACATACCAGACCCAGATGGTCAACTGGAGAGCTCACTACATCTCACTACCAGGGTCTGAAGCCACCTGGAAACGCAAAAACAGAAGGCTCAACCGTAACCTGTCTCGTACCAAGGCCGCTGGCTTCGCCACCTGCCCAGAGACTGTCTACATCTGCCAGGCCATGTCCCACCTCTCCTGGGTTCAAGGAGCTCACGATCTCCTTCGTCAGCCTTTCCACCAAAGTCGTCCTCACCCAGCCTTGGCCCGCCTGTGTGCAGGCAACAAACACTGACAGGGTGGGACCCGACATGACCCGACTGCTGTCCATCTGGAGTGAACATTTGTGTGAACATATTCAAATGCGTGCGACGTGCGAACATAATAAGCTGCATTGCATATAAATTGTGACTTCACAAGAAAAACGACTTAGATCCAACTGATCAACTTCTTTAACTTGCTCAGCTTGTCCCCGCAACTGGTCGTCTTTCGATCCCCATCTCGCCCTTCGCACCTGGTCAAGGGCAGCTAAACTCCTCAGTGAGGAAACCAACACAGCTCACCCAATCGACCAAAGAAGCGCCATTGCAGAAGCCCAGAAACGTTGCAAACACAGTTTGACACTTTCGGACCTGTCAAGATCCACTTCATGCAAGCACGGTATGCCGCTCATGTCGGCTGGTTGAATGGTTTCAAACGTTTGGTCCGAGATCGAACAAGTTAATCGATGTTCCGCTTGGCGTTGGTTTCATTCGAAAAACCAAGGTGCAAGAGAATGCAAACCGCATCCAGCTTGTCGTCATGTCTGTCCAAGAGCAGCAAAGCCTCAAGAGACCAAAAGAGGTTATCAAACAACCTATAGAAGTGGAGTAACAACGGTGTCTTTCTCCGGATGTACTCCACTTTTGAATCAGCACGAAGATCAGCGTTCAGCCGTTCCAAAGCTCAATCAACCGCCCGGGACTAGATGAGGACATCCTTTAAAAATACATCTTGGATCCAGTGTCGACATGGATTCTAAGCATCATCACCCCGTTGCTCCTATGTGGCTTGTGCATGGCCCCCACCGGCAGTTTTTGTTGTCTCACAAAATTGCTTTGAGTCCTACTGGAAAACTGCAGAAAACCCCATGAAACCGTTGAAGATCATTGGTTTTGGTGAAAAATATGGATATTATTGTATATTCAGGATTATTAAGGTTTCATTCAGATCATGTCTTTCCAGAAACCATCTTTGGTTAAATAACAAAAATCCGAAGTTCGTCTCCGCTGTCCGAAGAGTATCCACCAGGAGCGAAGTCGGAACGGCGTGTCGCTGATGACATCGCCACGTCGTGTCCCACAGAGTCATTTCAGGAGAAGGAAAGGGGCGGAGTGAGTGGGTGAGGCCTCGAACTCACCAGTGAGTGAGTGAGTGAAACGTGAGTTTCATTGAGTTTCAGCAGTGTTTCACTGGATGAACAGTGAAACATAGTGAAACTCACCACAGAGTTAACTTCACTCCACTCATTGACTTCACTCCGCTCCGCCCTTCCCCTCCTAAACCCCCAAACCCGCCTCTGGCCAGCACAACGCCGCCGCCCGGAACGCCGCGCCCAACACGTGACGGTCACTCTGGTGGGACCTCGAGGGTTCCGAAGCGAACAGCAGAAGTCTTCAGAGCGACACCGAGGCCCAACACCAGCGACGTCCAGCGACGTCATTGCGGGCGGAATGGAATGAAGAGTCGACGTGCAAAGCTTCTGAAAAAACTTCAGTCCGAGAAAACTTCTCTCATCTGGATGCCAGCGCTTGGTTTTGGCAAATGGGTGTCTGGTATGGAGCTCCAAAAACGCACATAACCGGTCTACAGCATTGGCAAGATGCATGTTTTCGTTCTTGATAAGGTGTTGTGAGGCCAAGCACAGCTTCTACTGGAGGATTAATTCATGTTCTTCAACAACAACCCCTGCTCCGTGCTTGTACCGTACCTGCTCCCGAACACCTGTGTTCCCGAACACTTCGGCAAACAGCCGCAGGGCGTCTTCCCATCTCTGCGCCTGGGACGAACGTCGACGAACGACGACGGAGACCTGCGGTCGGCAGTCGGGTGGCGCGGCCTGGTGAAGACTGCTCAGGGCCTCTGCGTAGGAATGCAAGGTGGGACCACCTCAGGAAGGGGAGGATCAAACATGAAACGACATAGTTCGAGTCTCCTAATTGTATTCCAGAACGTTCTCGAGGCCAAAAAGATCCAAAAAGCCAGCTAATTGGAGCTCATTTTGCTCCTTTTCGACTGTCATCCTTTTTTCATCCTTTTGCACTGGTCAGTCGAGAGGGTCAGGTGCGATGCTCCGGTCTCTCCGGTCTCTCCGGTCTCGGCACCGGGCGACCTCTCTGCATGCGATGGAAGAACTCCAGGCTACGCGACCATTCCTCGCCACGCAAGCAGGCCGCCATGGCCTCGACCGTTTTGGACGCGACGCGACTCAGTACGTGACCGTGTTCGTGAGAGCCCTCCACTGAGCGAGGTTTCCCAGGTGCGCCTGGAAGGCGCGTTCATTCATGGAATCGTTTGAAGTGGATTTGCTGGTGCCTTCTCTGATTTCGTGAGGCCCGAGGACACATTCTGACACTGAGCTGAGTCTTTTTCTGGTGTTCATGATGTCTTTCTTTGCTTGCCCAGTTCGGGACCTTCATCAGTTCATCCGTGTTCATCCCAAATATGTGGCATACCACATAGTTCGGGAGAAAATTCATGAAAGTCAGAGGAAGCAAAAAACATCACAACAAACATCAAACCAAAGACATCTGTGTTTGTAATTAGAGCATTTAGTAAAAACAGATAAGTCAACACAACCTCCGCGAGCTTGCAATTACTTGCTTAGACTTCTGATAGAGCAAGCCATGTTGGATCATCTTCTTGATGTCGGTATACACATATCCCAGACACTCCATGTATGCCATACTTACCTACTTGGGGTGGTTTGGGGGTCAATGTATGCATATGTGTTATACATGGAGTGTCTGAGTGTAGTGAAGAAACATACTCGCACCACCCAAGGGCCAAGGCCACGCACAAAAAATCAACGCCGTAGACCGCTCAAGATTGGTGCGCTGGTGTGGGGCCAACCAACGAAGCGAAACAAACAAAACACAAACACATAACGTGTTTCTTACTACACCAGGACCCCCCAGGGGTGGTTAATGGACACCCCTTAACAGCTAAGGGGCTATAAATAAACACCCCTTGGAGGGTCCTGGTACCTGTTATACTTTTTGTTTTTTTTTCTGCAGCTGTGTGCTTACGAACGCTTCTGTGCCCAGGTGCGGCATTCAACGTGGTGCTGTCTGCCCGGAGTCGATGGCGCTTCGCCGCCTGGGCGAGCGAATGGCAGGGCGCCGGCCAGGCCACCGTGATCCTTCGGAAAGCTCTGGGGGCCCATCTCCATCTGAAAGGGTTTTTCAACTGACCAAAAGTATCAAATGGAATTAAATGGGCTGTTGACCGGAATTCAGCACATTTCGTTGAAGATTATTTCACCTCCAGGCAGAATGAAGTCACTGAAGAAGCATCTCAGTTCATCCGATCATTCATGGATCATTCATGATGATGCACAAATATTCGTAGCTAATTTCCACAGGGCTTGCAGAAAGGCAATTATCTCTTGCTTGCAAGAAACATTCGAACAACCGAAATCAATATCACATGGCACACGCAAAGGCCTGCAGAACAGCTAAAGCCTGCTGCCATTGGTGACCTGTGCGGAATCATCATCAATGAGCGGAGAACAAACCGAAAACCCTGAACCTGATCCCCCCTCTTTGGGACCTTCAACTGCACAAAACAGAGCATTTTCCTACTCAAAGGTCATCATGGCTATCATGGCTATAGAGATAGATTCTAAACTTCGAAATGTCCGGCATCTCCGGTGCCTTCGCCCCACGAAGCACTGGTCTTCGCGAAAGCCTTTTCCATCTCCCGCCAGGCTACGGCTCACCGTCGACCAAAAACACTCCCCCGGTGGCGGCCCACCTTTTTCGCAGGCGCTGGCCACCTTGTTTGGAGCGTCGTCACGGGTCACGAAGTCATCAAGTCATGTGCCATCTGCATATGCATTTTCTGCATCTGCACTTCCGCATCTGCACATGTATGATGGTTTCAGTCTATAGAAGACCTGAATTTGCGGGGTCTTCACCGTCTACATGGCGTAGTGAGCGGTACTTTTGCAACTTGAATTCGCCAAACATTCGGTCACGACCCGTGCTGCTTAACAGTGGTCTTTTTCGGTAACCAGCGCAAAAAAAGCACACACATCAAACCAACGAGCCCCGTGTTCACACCTGAAACCCCGAGCGAAACTCCAACAATCTTGAGGCCTTCAAATTTCCGGTGTTTTGACCCGCCAAAAACACCAAACACATTAGGCCATACGAAAAACGAACTGCATCATCATAGATTCAAAGGTAGAGTGCAGTACCCCCTTAGTTGGAATTTAAATGCATTTGGGGCGCAGGCCTGAGTCAGAAACCAGTAAATTGACTGCAAGCCCTGAGCCCATCACCATGTTCACCAAGACAATAGTTGGTGGAGGTTCCTGACACGAGCAAATCATGCAAAACTAATGCAAAACTGACATCACTCAAGACAAAGATAAAACACATTCATGACACATACATTCAATATTTGTTCAGAGCATGCAGAACGCACATCGAAAGGCTCGATATGTAGCGCGAAGACTGGGACCCCGATCGACCGCTCCGGACCGCTCAGACCAGAAACCGCGGTACCCCAAACGATCGACCCCTTTGGCGCATGCTGATGTCGAAATGATCCGTATACCTAGAACCCAATATATGACCTTTGTTTTGATAGGAAAAAAACCATGTTTTGACATGTTTTGACACGAAACCAGGGGTCACACAGGTGATTTAAAAGCACGGCTTAGTTTCTCGATGCTGTCGGCCTTGCGACCAGACCGGCATGGTTCCCATGCAAGCAAAAACCGAGTTCTGCCTGCGCCAGGAGGTGGAGGGCCTCGACCCACAAGGCCGCCTTTTCACACCTGGGCGTGGTGTGAAAAGGAGAAGCCAGGAGAACCAAGGTAATTACTCACATTCTGCATATGATCACGGGATATGCTCAACGCGTATATATACCGCATAACTATTTATATATATATATATGGAGAATCTGTGGTGACATCGTGCCACATCCTGCCATGTCCAGGGATACGCCCATCGATGGCATGCTCACTCAGGCAGAGGCGCATTCAGTACTGCACCGTGAGTGACTTGATCCGGTCTCAATTGCAATGCCTGGCGATTTGGGACAAAGAACGGCAGACCTTCTCAGCGCTTGAGGAGCCCCGTTCGTTGCGTCCTTGCTCCGTTCGTAGTAAAGCCAGGAACCCCTAGTAGCGGCCCAACAATGGCATATACCAGGATACCCCGAGGGGTGCCAATTGGTGGCTACCAGGGTGTCTATTGACCACCCCAAACAGGGTCTCCTGGCATGGTCGAGTCCCTTCAGGGCATGTGTGAGATGAAAACATCTCTCACTCCCAACTCCGAAAACAACTTCGAATGGCTCACATGTCGACCACTTCAGACAGCCAAGCAGTAGGCAACGGGTTAGACAGCGTCCGCGGACGACCTGGGACGAAGTCGCCCCACCTTCATCTCCGAAAAGAGTCGCAGCGAACGCCCAGCTTGCCGACCCTGGCGTCAGTCACAAAGCCATGCTGGGATCGCTTGAGACGTTTCACACGGAAGCATCAAGCCATGTGGGTCGTGGAATTTCCCCATCTATACATCACTCTACAGAAGCTTCCACGTGGAAGCTTTTGTTCTCTTCTCACTTGCTAATCCAAGGAATCAACCAACATCAGCTGCATGAAAAACTGTCAGCCTTCGTGCATGCTGTGATGGAGGAGTTGTAAGTGACCACATCCTTCTCCTTGATGCTCTCAAACACGGCCAAAGCCTGAGAGCTCGGATCGGCGAGCGACTCTTTGGGGGCTGAACGTGCCGCACTGAACGTGCCGCGCTGAACGCGCACGGTGCACTCCAGGTCGGTCGGTTTTGGGTTCTGGAGTCCAAACACTCGATGTACGGCATCATTGAAAACGTTATTAGGGGTGGTTGAACAGGGGGTCAATGCTGGCATACATATTCCATCATTTGGAGTGTCACTCTGGGTTTTTGTGACTTACATCCCAACCGCGCTGTGACTTCCAGTCCTCCTTCCAGGCAGATGCATTCGCACAAGCGCTGATACTTGCCTCATTGGCAAAGGCGGGCGGACGGTCCAAACCAGAGCAAATCCATCTCCTCGTTGTCGCTGTCGTAGACACTTGCAGGGGTGGATTTCCGCATTTCCCACATCCAAACGACCAGAAACCGGACATGAGTCGAAGACACTGTCGAAGACATGGTCCACCGATGGTTTTGACAGATGGTCCACCCTTTTCATCCGGCTTCCCACTCTACTGGCAACATCCGTCTAAATCTCCATCTGGCTCCCACTGTCTCCGATCTGGAAAGCCTTGCTTCTCTCCACATGAACTTCAGATTCTTTCTCCCAAGTTATGACCACAGTCAACCATCGGATCGTGACTGCCTTCGTGACTCCCATGCGAATGCGATGGGCTCTCGTCGCCGAGTCAGCGGCTGTTGCGAGGCCAGGACACATTTAAGGCCATTCGTGACAGGGACACCTGAGCGGCGCGAACCCGAGACTTGGATGGATGGTGAGACCACACTAAAGCAACCACCCAAATTGGGTGTTGAACAGAAATCAACTGGAATGCATCACAAATCATCACAAATCCCAGGTCTCTCCCACCTCAGCATCCACCAGGAGCAGTGCTCGCTGCCACTGGGTTCCTTTCCTTACCAAAACGTTCCGACGAGGTCCGTGGCGCACCATTGGGCCCAAGAGGCGCCAGCTGTGTCTAGGGAGACGCATGCGACCCTTCCTATACTCTATACTAGAGATGCATCTTGTCTACGAATCTGCAGAATGATTCAGGATCTACAAAACACTCAGAGGGGGGGTGTCAGGACTGTCTTGTCTTGTTTCTTTCACACCTCCGTCGGGCGCACTCCCGACCGATCGACGCGGCGTCAGCGGCCGAGGAGCTCGAAGGCGCTCAGCAGGGAGTTCCAGCTGACCTCATCGGCCTGAAGCTCCTCGAAGCGGGCGGTCTGTGGCAACAGCAGCCTGTGCCCCACTCGATGTATTTTCAAATGTTTCAAAAGGAACATGTACACAGTACACACATCAACAGTTTGCAAAGTAAAAAGAACAGCAGTCGCCTTCTTGATAAGTTTGTTCCAAGGTGATTGATGAGTGACAAAGTGTACACGATTCTGACACGATTGCTTCGGGTTTTTGGACACCACACACGTCAAGTTGCATCTATACGAGGTTGGACCTCTTATCTGTGAGGAAATGCGTTTCTTTAAAATATATAACATCTGTGATATAATCTGTGGATGACAATTATTGATGCTCCACGTATGCGTCTTCGCCAAGCATGTATGCGTCTTCGCCAAACTCCTTCTGGGACATTTCCATCAACAAGCTCATGGACATCATCCATTGTCGACCTTTGCCACACCTCAGTCGCCACTGCTTTCTCGCCGTTTGTCCCAAAGGATCGGAGGAATGGGAGCCAAGGAATACGACGTATAGTATAGGCTGTCAAGTAATTCATGTAAGTAGGGATGGTTGAAAAGGGACCGATGTGTATTTTCAGCTGCATGGAGCGTCTGTCTTTGTAGGTTGTTTCACATCATTGCTTACTGTCACCCTAACAATCCTGTGTATGGACTAGTTGCCTAGTAGATGCATTGGGGTGATTCAAGGATGGTTCAAGGGTCAATGTATGTAGTATATAGATACTCCGTACATGGATGGTCTGGTTACCATGTTTCACACACGTGAGCCATGCCCTCAATCACCACCAAACACCCACTCGCGAGAAACAAACACATGCAAAACATGCAGAGTTGGCCTGCCGTCAAAGTGATCCCTTTTGGATGTGTAGCTTCCGAACCCGGGAGCCATTAAGCACGCAGCAAGATCCTGTTTGTTGGGGGGGAAGATGCACATCCGCCACATCTCTCCCACGCGTCCCCCGCGCCCGGTTCCAACCCGCTCGGGCCACCGGGCGCGCTGATCACCGAGTTGGTGGCCGGAACGCTGCGTCGCTCGGCGCGCAGCGTTCCAAGGCCCTGCCCCGGTCGCGTCCGCACGGCGGTCCGCACGGCCGATCGGTCCGGTCGTGTCGATGTCGACAACTATAGATAGCTGACCCCAGGCCAAACAGGTGCTAAGGACTTACTAAGGACCCTATAAGAGGCTATAGACATCCACATCTCGACTCCGGGGTCCGAAACCGAAGTCCAGTTCGATTCGCAAAGGCACCCTGCTCGTGTTGCAGGAATGTTCCTTTTCACTCGGATCACCGTTCGTCAGACCGTTTAAAAAATTGATCGACTGAACTCCCAGGGGAAATATATGGTTTAAAAGCCTCTCTTGGTCACTGGAGATTAACTGTAATTCAACATGATTCAACATGTTAACCAAGTCGAGCTACAGTACCAAATTAGTTCTTCGGTCAACGCCTATAGGAAACAACATTTAAACAACACATGGCTATTGGCTAAGAATCTCCGGATGGCTTAGTCACATATCGGAACTCCCAGCTGAGCGTTTGAGAACGCCTCAGCTGAAGCCTCGAACACCGACCGATGTGGGACCAATGCGTTTGTTCCGCCGGTCTCGAGGCCCTTCTCACCTGGAGAAGCTCCAGGGCGCACCTTGGAGCGCCCGGACACTCCACCCCGCATTGACCTGACTGAGGTGTTGACCCACTGGTGGACCAGCCTAAGGCACCAACTGGTGCACCACATCGAGGCGTATTGGAGAGCGTTTTGGAGACCGTTGGGTGGATTTGGGTTTGGTCAACCAGAAACAAAACCATGACGTTAAAGACAGGTTACCTCAGTAAGGAATCTAAAAAAACACCCCTTGTGTTTGGTCCAACATGTTCCAAAGATCCTTCCAGATCGCATCCCTTTTTGGCACGTGGCGATTGGTCGGGACACGGAGCAGCGAGTTCGCCGGAAACGCGCGCGGGGTTTCCCGCGCGCAGCCGCATGTGTCGCGCAGCTTGTGGCGAACACGGAGCCGAGTGGAAGAGAGTGGCGAAACTGGACTCTCTGCAACGTTCGGTGCCCTTCCATTAATACCGAAGTGTCGCTGGACGGCTTTGAAAAAGGGGAAGACAAAGCCAGCTTGCCAAGATAGAAACACAGAGTTCCCCAACTAGATCCAAATAGCTTGGCCCCAATGCCCCAAAACAAGAGAGTATGTAATATGTAAACTCAAAGTTGGGTAGTCGGAGAGCCCGAGGAATTGCAAAGCTGTCATCCGGGTCTCACTTCGTCTAAGTCTATTTTTAGTCTTAGCTGCAATGTGTTCGACTGCCTGATATCACCTGGTTTGCTCTGAGCTTAAGCTTGACGTTCAGAATCGAACACGTCGCCCTCTTCGATTCGCTTTTTGAATTGGTCGACCTGGGGCGTTCAGACCTCAGTGATGTGGCTCTTGGGTTCCACCAGAGTCACTTCCAGGTGGTGCAAAACCATCTCACCTAGCGACGGGGGCTGTCGGTTTTAGGCGGAGAGGGAGTGATGAGTGGAAGAGGTCTGAGTGCTGTGATGACGAACCTTTGAATGGTGCATGTAGTGAAATAGGAGTCCTTGGGAGATGATTCAATTCTAAGCACAGTCACTGCACTCCATGCGAAACATCAATCGAAAGAATCGAATCGATAATCAACAAAGACAACCCCTTCTCAAGAATGATAGGGTTACCCAACACAACATATTGTACAACAATCGCTTGTCCCCTTAAGACAAACCAATGAATCACTCCGCAAAAAGAATCTTCCGATGTCACAACTATAGGGTCTGAAAGAAAGTCAATTCACATAAACTATTGATTCTTTCCCCAGCATCTACTAAAAATGACTATATAAAACCAATTCAATTCAGAATTCATGTATGTTTTCTTTCTCAGACATTTTGGATGTGGTAAAAACCCTGGAGACGACACCAAAGCCACGCGTCATCGTCTGGCCTTGCGGGCCTTGGATGCGCTGGTTCAAGCGATGTTCGTCCGCTTGTTTATCTGGCCCATCGAATCGCCGCGGTCGGACGAGAATCACGTCGTGACCGTCACGGATGGTTTGGACCTAAAACATGTGCCGGTCGAGGTGCTTTTTTTGGTGCGGGTGTCACACCAAATATGATAGTCATAGACTTCCAAAACAGTGGCAAGCAGAACAGCAATGGCCTCCAACCAAAACAGCAATGGCCTCCAACCAAAACAGCAATGGCCAACAAAAACAACAGAACCCTTAGAAAAGACCATGGAACCGCCACCTCCCCAACGAAGACTCGCGCCTACTACAATGGTATGCATCAGCATCATCAGCTGCTCGAAGTGCTTCTTGCTTCGCAAGTGGCTTGAGAGCTCCCGCACGAACACCGAGTCTTCACAAATGGAGCAAGTGAGTTTTGCCTCCAAAGAGTCTGTCGGAACTGCCATGAAGAAGATGGGTGAAGGAAAAAAACGTGGACGAAACTGTCCAAGAAGAGAAGGGGTTTGTAGACACGATAGTGACTCTCTTATATAACGATTACTATTATTTACTATTAATATTGAAATCAACAATTATTGTGGCATTCTGACAGTGACATTGTGATATGACAGTGACCAGTACATCCAAGAAACTTCTGCATCCAGCACCGCCAATTGTTGCTCCAGTATACGGACCTTTGCCAGTGATGCCCGGTCCTTGCACCAGAAGATCTGGTAGCTCGCCTCCGACACGATCACGGGGTCCGGACTGCAGGCGCGCACCGAGTACTCCGAGAACTCGTCCCAGTCGCGCTGTACCGCCGTGGCGGACGTGGGAGGGACGGGGCCGAAGGTCACGGGGAGGCCGGATGGATGGATGTATTCACCGGTGCCGGCACCAGCGCCATGGTCGAAGCAAGGTGAATGGAACTGCGACTGTGGCATGTCTGGCACAGGGTGAGCAGGCTGAGGCATGGGTACGGGCTGACACGAAGGCTGGACCAGTGGTTGAGTTTCTGAAGTCCGTGGAGCTGCAGTCTGCTGAACCAAGGTAGGGGAACCCACGAACTGCGACTGTGGCATGCCTCGCACAGGTTGCTGAGTAGGCTGAGACGGCTGAACCGGTAGCTGAGCTTCAGTCCACATAGCTGGCGGCTGCTGTGCCTGGGTTGGCCTTTGCGGGAGAGGGGCTTGTTGCTCAGCACGCGGCCACTGAGCTCCAGCTTGGCTCTGTGTCGCTGCTTGCGTCTGGTCTCGCACGAGTGGCTGACACGGAGCTGCTTTTGGCTGAGCTGAGCTCTGCTGTGCTGGAGCTTCTGGTGTTGGCTCCGGAGAGGACCGTTGTGAGCACCTGGCCACCTCAATCGCCCCGTCCAGCTCGTTGATGCGGATGAAACCATTGGGTATCTGCACCTCGTTCCATAAGCGCTCCCGCACCGTTGCCACGCAAACTCCATCTGGCACATAGTCCTTGCTGAGCTTGCCATAGTGTGCGCCCGCACCCAAATGCTCTCCATATCCACGCGCCGCCGTGCAAATCTGGCAGGTCACTTCAATGCGAGCCGCTTCATAGACGTAATTCGCAAAGGCGTTGGCCCTATCAGTCATCCTTTCTTTGAAGATCTTCTTCGATGACAAATGTCCATAGGCCTGCCAGTCTCCATTGGGCTTGGTGCACATGCTGCAAGGCTCGTAGATGCAATGCCAACGACCTTCCTCTTGTAGGGTGAGAGGATCTAAGCTCTTGCTCTTCACACTCACTGACGTTGTTGGATGATCCAACTCCTGAGGTCTTCCATCACTTCCAGTCACCGGTTGGTAGTTTGCCCAGGCATTCACGGGCGCCACGGGCGCCGCCACGGGCGCCGCTTGGGGCGCGGTGGGTTGGGGCGCCGCGGGTTGGGCGTTTGCAGCAGGTGCTGCTTTGAAGACCCGCACTTCGCCGAGCAACTCATTGAAGGCGATTTCGCCACCTGAAAGAGAAAAACATGTTCTTTCGTGGGAGGAGATATATATAAGGTCATGATTCTAGATCCTTGGCCACCTGATGCCCCCCTGTTGGATCTCATGAAGTACTTACTAGAAACTACAACATAGCACCTGAATGTGCAATGTGTATACAATTGTAATATCCACCACCAACTGATCACACCACCAACTTCACTCTTTTGTCTTTAAAGACTTTCCCCAGTGGCGATGTCGCTTGTGTCCGTCCCCGTCCACTGTAGAACAACAATGGTTCAACGTGAAACAAACGAGGCGTTTGGGGGTCCTCTCCGGTTGCCGCTGCCTGGAACTGGAAAACGATGCCAGTAGCGATGGAGGATGCTCTCGATGACCGTCTGCTCGCCGATTTCGCCCAGCTTTTGCCAGTGCTTCGGTCCACCGAGGTCGGCGCTGTAGCCAACTGCAATGGATCACAGAAAGGATCAGTACTTTAAGAGAATGATAATGAGAAGGACAGAACAAATCCCAGCTTGGAAGAAAGTCTTCCAACATCTTCTAGCATCAAATATATAGTCTATCAGCAGTTTAGATTATACCATCGGCACCACCGGGGCACCACCCCTGGTGCAAAACAATGTTTTTTTGTTGAAAAACGGGGTTTATATATCACAACCTTCTTTTTGAGAGGACTTTGTACTGCTGAATGCAACCATGATTTGTAGCGGCTGAGCACTGGATTTGAGCATGTGTGTTTCACCCAGCAAGGCAGAACTACTTGCCGGGTCGATGGCTTTCTAATGCTAGCTAAGTTTGACGTAGACATATATAAGTACTTAGGACCGACTGAGTGTGGACTTGGCTAAGGAAGACTTAGCTTCGATTTAGGGTTGACTCAGGCTGAATCGTGGTTGAACTTAGGTTGGGCTGTCCGAGCAGAACCCCAAAAAGTCTAAGCCAAGTCTTCTGACGTTTTTTCTTAATTTTGAAAGGAACATGCGAAAGACATTGTTTGACCATGTTTGACAGTTTTTCACTTCACTTTAGTCTTACAGGGGATATGCGCCAGACAATTCTTTGAATGGTTTCCTGTCATTTTAGTCTTTAACTCTTTTTTCTAGGACTTAGCTTAGACTAAGCCTGGACTTAGGTCAGACTGAGTTTCGACTGACCAAGTCCGAGCTAAGGCCAAGTTTGCCTTATTTGACTTAACTTTGACTTAGTTGAGTCAGACCTAAGCAAATTACAAACATCTATGGAGTTAACTCAGTCCAAGATAAATCAAACCTAACATCTATAGAGGGTGAGAGACTAAAAACAAGGGTTGCTGTAGTAGGTTAGCAGGTTTATGACATAATTATATTATATATGCTATATATATAGAGAGAGGCTGTAAGTCCAAGATGACGATATACCCGGCAAGTAGAATGATTGAAGCTGCAGCACAAAGCTAATGACCATACTTTTCCAGGAACACATCCGCAATGAGGTGGAAATGCAGGAGGAACATGGAGGAACCATGTGGAACAATACCTCCGTCCGTGGGAATGTCAATCTTTGGATCCCAGATCGTTGGAGGGGTCACCGGGGTCACCCAATGCAAAAAGACTTGTCAGACCACACGTTGGCATTGTTTGCAATTAATGTGTTGCGGACATTTTTTTGCGCTGGGACAGGCCAGCAGTTGGAAATCCGGGTTTTGAACCGTAGGCGACCCGTAGAATTAACCGTAGCCGTAGACATCCTATAGAAACCCCGTAGAAACCCGTAGAAAAGTATGCAATTTGGCCGTAGTTTTGGAAGTCCTGGGATGTTGGGTTTTGAATGGTTTTTGAAAGCTCTTGGCCTGATCCGAGCGTTCCTGACTGCAGCCCGAGAGAGGGGTGCTTGCTGGGCCCATGGCTACCTAAGTGTAGCATAGTCTAGCTAAGTCTAAGGTAGGCATATATAAGCACTTAGGAGTGATTTAGCGTGGACTTATCTAAGGTAATTAGCTTTGATTTAGTTTTGACCCAGGCTGAACTTACTAAGCCTAAACAAGTCCAATCTTCGCCTAAGCAAAGTCTAAGCGTAGCCTAAGCGGAGTCTTCTGACAGTCAGTTTTGTCTTAATCTTAAAGGGAATAAGCGTGTGAGAAGAAATGTCTGACAGTTGTTCCCTTTATATACTTCAGCCTTGAAAAAGGTAATATGTGTTATCGTCAACTTTTCCGACAAATTGGCCAGGACTTAGCTTGGACTTAGTTTGGGCTCAGTTTGACACTTAGGTTGGACATGGGTTGGACTTACTATCTCCAAACTAAGTCCGAGTAAGTCTTATGTGACTTAGTTTTGACATACTAAACGAGACCTAAGCACTTACTATAACCAAAGGTACCCTAAATCAAACCTAGCCTTTACAGAGGTCAAGACACTCAAAACAAGAGTGACCACACAAAGAAACTTATTGATACTTCAGAAGACTTATAAGCTATAACGGGTTCTAAGTCCAAGTTAGCGAAATAATACATCCTGCGTGTGAACAAAGCCTTAATTAAGACCTTCAAAGGTTGTGATGATTCCAGTGCTGTGTTCGCATCAGCAAATGGCCACTTCCAACAGCTACAGTTGCGCCGGTTGCTTTCTTCAGCGATGATGTATTTGAATGCTACATACAACTACATGCGTTAAGCTGTGGCTTGTCGTTTTCTGCGCGGATGATGCGTGGAAGGGTGTTGAGTTGGGAACCAAGGTCTCCTGTATCCATGTAAAAACTTGCACGGAAATCATTGTCCAAAAACCGGGTTTTCAATCCACAACCCTAAAAAAACAGGTCGTAAGATAAAACCTTTCTTTTTCATGGTGTTGAGGGCTCATTGTAGAAACCTCTCAAAAACCGTCTCCCACGTCATTCCAAACGATCAAACCTGCCACATGGACCGAACCTACCGACACTCACGACCACTCACTCCGCACCACCCATCCGCATAAAGAACCTGATGGATGGACTTCCCCCCAATTCGCGCGCTCGAAGCGCTAGCCGCGCCGGTTCTGCGGCCGCCTCCCGTCGTGCAGATGAGGCAGCGCGGATCCTGGCCCAGCGACCGCAAGCGCTCCTCCAGCGGCGACGCGCGCGCCCGGATGCTCTCGCTGAAGAGCCGCCTGGACTCGACGGAGCCGGAGGCGGAGGCGGGTGGGCGAAAGGAAAAAGAGTTCGTTCAGCGCCGTCACAGTGGTGACGTATGGGCGAGATATATTGAGATATGGCAAGTTTAGATTTCATATTGGAGTAATAGAATGCATGACATATTGATATAAAATAGTTAATGATATAATATCTCCTGCACCACCTTTACTTGAGCCGACCTCTTAGGAGGGATTTGGGGGATGTGGCAACGATGTGTTGTTCAAAGGCGCCCGCACAACCACGTGTGTCTTTTTGAAGGATTCTTTCGTTACGGTGTTGCATGCCAACTACATCGGTGTCATAAGCCACCTACATTGACCCCTCAAAGCATCTGGAAACAAAACAACTCTTCCCGTGCCATCCATTCTTTGGGATTTGAGGCGGCCAGATGAATCGACGAATGACGAAACACGGACGGATCTGGGAAAATTATCCCGGGAAAGCTTAGGGATTCAGCAAATACTTCTATAGCTTGAGGTGAAATGTTGCTCCCATCAAGTCCAGCAAATACCTCTAGAACCACACTGAGATCTCATCACCCACAGCTGGGACACATAGAATCATACAGACTTAATTGTGAGATATATAATGAAATCATGAAACGTTTCTGGACAATCAAGGTGGAACAACATCAATCCAAATACCTCTCCATTCATCACTTCATCATACTTCACCCGTTTCCCGCCAGCACCGCCCCGCACCCCACCACATTACATCGACGGAGCCGATGAATCATCGCTTCCGATCCGCGCGAAAGCGCTGACCCGTTGTTGCCTAGAGCTCAAATGTGGATACTCTTTCCAGGTGCCTCGTGCGGAGTCTCCGACCATCGGGCCGAGGGAAGAATGGGTGAAGCAACAGGTCCGATTCAGAGATATCGATATACACTTTACCTGATATCTGCAGAGTCATCGAAATTCAGAAAGTTCATCCGTTTTTGACCCAAGGCTTCAGCGAATTCCACGCCACGCCTCCAGGCACGATGGCGCTAAAGGGTGGGGCGACGCAGGTCCAGCCCTCTGGCATTTGAGCATCGCAGGGGTCCAAAAGCTTCGTATCCATGGCGCGAGGCGCGAGGCCAGAGCGAGGCCGGACCAGTGTCGTTTGGGAGGAGAGTTTCTCATAGCATCGCATATAGCTGTGCTTTCCTTTGTATGGTGTGTCTTCTTGTTTTGAGATGACTCGCTGTTTCCGAAAGGAAGTAGGTTCCGTTTTTGGTGGAAACAGCTTTAAAGTCCTCAACAAGAATGGATCTTAGCAAACCCAAACTTCGGATGTATATGAAAGATATTGGCATGTTCAGAACATTTTGTTGGGTGGTTCAATGTAATAAAAGGTTGGTGAATCACGGATTTCATGAGGCACCTGCAATGCGTTCGATTCTTCCCATGAGTTGCCTCCGGTTTTAAACCAAAAGCTGGGCTGCCTTGAGCCACCAGCTTCAGGAAGTGGACCATTCGTTGGCTCAAAGGGCGAGCAAATCCATTCACTTCGAACAACTCACCCAAGTTCGCAGCAACAACTATCCCGTTTGGGCTCCAGTCGTACCTTCGTTGCGGTTGGGTGGGACTGGGGTGGGTGCCATGTTCGGGTCCAGTCATACCGAACCTGAGGAGGTACGACTGGAGCCCTATAGGGCCCCAGGGTCATGTCGACCTGCGGCGAACATCTCACCCATCAACCGTCCATCACACGTGGTCACCGTCCTCGGCTTCAACTCGGAGGTGTCCGTCTCGAAGAGACGTCGGTGTGAAAAACCACCGGTGCTGTCAGCGAAAAAACAAAAACACACACACACACACCCTGAGACTGGAGCCTCCATGCAGTGGCCTTCTCACAGGCAAAGATCGCCAGCTTCCGACCTCGACATCGGCCCGATTCGGAACTCGTTCGGCGCCTGCCGCGGAGAAAGCAGGGCGCCGGGGCCGGAAGTGGAGAACGAAGTTCGAGGCGGAAAGGGGAAACGACATGGGACGCAAGACATGGAAAGACCCACGACACACGATTATCACATCACAACCCAAACACGACCTGTCTGGCGCTTGCCATAGGACTGCCGATGAGTTGGGGTGGTGCCAGAGGGTCAATGGAACGGCAGTCGCTGGCTGGCGGTCCCAAACAGGTCGTGTCTGGTTCGTGTGTTGGGCATCCATCCGCTTTTGGGGCTTCGGAACCCAAAAGGGGCAGCACCGCACCGCATCCGGCTACGTTTGCACTATATGGTCACAAGGGCGGCTTGATCTGTGTTCCAGTCAACGAGAACTTGGTTGGACTTGGGAAACAACTCCTAGACTTCGGGTTCGAGGCTGAAGAGTGTTTTAAATTGTTTTAAACCATGTTAGATCATGTATTTTATAGTGAAACTTGCAGTTCCTCTTAGACCTCTCAGCTGGCATCATCTTTTGCAGCCTAATATAATATAGAACTGGCATTCGAGCATACACCTTCAACATCCTTACACACTCCCAAGATCTCCCAAGGTTGTGCAAAACAATTGGCATCAAGGATGTAGTCTAGTGAGCTCCACCTCACCCTGATTCCGGCCTTCTTCGTGAGGAAGGGATCGTTCAGTGAGCTCCTGACATCTGACTTTGCGTAAAAACCAACGACGGACCGACGGACAACAGAGCGCTCGGACGGAGGCGCTCTGTAGAGACGCGAGAACTTGCCAGGTGGGCGCCACAAAACGCTCGGGACAACGAACGTGGGAGACACGATTTGCCACGGGGCGGAGCAGTCACTGCTCCTGCAACAGCTGCAACGCCCAGATCCACTTCATCGCCTCCAGTCCGGCGGGAAAGGCTGGGTGGTCGGGGTGGTTCGTTGGTGTCCCCGCCATGGCGTGGCCCTTTCAGCTCAACATGAGCGGTTCGGTGTCACGTGCACTGGGCGCTGGACCTTGCCACAGGCTGTGATGCAAACCTTACCCGTTGGCGGTGGACTCGAATCCTATTCTCTAAACGCAGATCCCCAAATCCTCGTTAGTAGACCGTGCTACGAGTATCACAGGTCTGCAGGTCTGAGATGTCCAGAACGGCCACTCAAAATCTTCTGACCAAAAGTTCAATCCAGCAGTCACAAAGGGGTGTCGTTTAGTCCCTATAAGTATAAGTGAGTGCATGGAAAATGGGCACCCCTAACCTCCATGAACATCTTCTTGGAACCCTTGTTTTTCGGCCAAAACTGCCGAAGTGTCCACGAAAATCCCCTTGCGCCGGGCGACCGCGCTCCGAAGAGGATCTCATCGAGGTCGCTTCCGCTTGAGACGAGCCTCGGGAGACGAAGAGGCTCCGTCTCTCGACAGGTCGGTCAATGGATGAGGCCGCCCTCGGGTGGTACAGCCGGTGCGAACAAATGGTCGGTGGATGATCAAAGGGAAGTTGATTGAATGTCATGGGGGATACAAGTTTTGTTCTGTTTTTTGAAGGTGGGACACACAAAAGCCAGGTGCACCCGCTCTTTGGCCAGCTCTGCCAATGCCAAATGCCACAGAGATGCCTCGCAACAGACCACGGACCCCATTAGGAGCATGTTTGGATGTGGGTCCGTTTATCCCAATTGGTCCAACTACATTCCATGCAAATCTTTGGATGAACAGCAGCTGTGCTGTACATGAAATCGCTGCTCTGCCTCCCTCTGTCTCTGTCTCCTTTTCTACAAGTGCTCTCAATCAATGTGCAACTCTGCCCTAGATTGTGATAGAACAACAAAATCTGCTTTAGCAGCTTCAGGTTGCACCTCGTTGTATGCTTTCATGCAGGTGCTCAGCCTAGGGGCGGGAAGAAGGCAGCTCCAATCGGACGAAGGAAGAACATGATGTGCACTTTCTTCGCGTGTCTGTTGTTGATGAACGACACTTCCAGGGTCTTCCAGGGCATTCGTCGTTGTCTTCGACTTTCATGACAACAGTTGCTTCATGTTGCTTCAATTGTCACACTGATCCCACCAACTCCTAATCCCACCTTCACGCAATGGAACGAACCAGCGCTGCATTTCGTTCGCACCATGGGAAAGCACTAAGTTCCGGTCACGTATTTGTTGGTCTGCACCTGGAGTGGCCGCACAAACCAGCTCTGGTCTCAAGTGGTTGGTTTCTTGCACGCCAGCTCGGGAGATCACAGCAAACCAACCATTTTGCAAACACATGGATGAACAGAACAGCATTGAAGCCTTGGATCCTGTACCACTGGACAAGTCCAACTTTGAACCATGGGCCGGTCCATATCCCCAATAAGTCTGTATGAACTGTGATGAACGAACTGTGTTTCAGCGTCGGTCTGCAGGTTTGCAGAGAATATATATATATATATATTAGATATATCATCCACCAAACTTTCATCTATGACGCCGGTTGTGTGTCAGCCTCAGCCCTCCTGCAGCACTGATGGGACATGATGGGACAGTAGATCTGAGTATTCTGAGTGGAGATCTGCTTTTTTAACTAGATGTATCTCTCGAGCCGTGTCTCATGATTCTCATATATGGCGCTTCCCGCTTCCGGTGCGGATCTCGTGGTTGACCTTTGAGCCTTGGGACCCAAACACCAAAACACGAATGGGGTGATCCCGTTTGGGATCCAGTCGTACCGAACCTCAGGTCTGGTACAACTCTGGCACCTACATTACAGCGTCGATCGAACACATCACCTTCTAAAAGGGTATGTGGATCCCTAATACCCAGACGCGACCTGTCTGGGACTACCATAGAACTGCTGCCCCAAACAAATCCCTTAAAACAAACAACCACCCCAACGGCCGTTTCTCGGCAGTCCTGGCTGGCAGTCCCAGACAGCGTTGCGTCTGGGGGGGGGTCTGGAAACACTCCAAGTCTCCCCGGTGACTTCCATCCACCGTCCGACGTCCTGGTGCGCTTCCATCTGCGCGAAGAGATCCAAGGCCAGAGCCTCAACGCCGCAACGTGCCGTCGGAGACAAAACCATCCGGCAAGGTGAGCGGCAAATGATGAGAGAGTTCGGGACAAAAGGGAGACCAAAACCGTAGCAAAGATGACTTACCTGGACTTACCTATCATATTGTACACTATGATATTAGTAGCAGCATGGCAAGGTAGGTCCCGAAACCAGCCAGCTTCGGGTCTTCAGACCCCCAACGTGACACCCCCGGTTCTCGGTCCGGGCTCCCGCGCCCACTTCCGGGCCGCCACCTCGGTGGAGCGAAGCCATCAGACTTCGGATGCTTCGCTTGAGCTCCGCTCTCGACTTTCGAAGCTGGAAGATCGGGGCCGTCGAATGCCGTGAGCCGGCACATGTCCTGAAAAAAATCGGAGGTCGATCCTCCGAAGTATCTGAAGACAGGAATGAACTCCATCAAGTCTTCGAATCCTCAGAAGACTGACCCCTCCCGCCAACCGATGTGCCCACACTCGACCCATATCGACCAACAAACCAACAGACCCATCCCGATCGACCAACAAACAAGGCATCCAGAAACCCAATGTGACCAGGTCACGCATGCGTTCATCGTGGCGGTGAAGACAAAGGCATCGCTGCGATCGGCGGAGGGACCCTGGACGAAGGGGGGGCGAAAAAAACTTGTGAGAGGTTTCAACATGGTTTCAACATCACGATATAGACCAACTATATATAGCACAAAGGCCTGCAGCCTGCCCAAAGGAAAAACAGTACGGCACCGCTGTGACGTGACGGCCTCTGCAAAAAGGCTCAACGAAGCTTCCCACCTTGTTGGCATGGCAGAGTGGGCGAGGAAAGCCATGGGCAGTTTTCGCTTTGCACACCAGCATGTAAGATTGCACTGGACCTGGTGTCTTCTGCGATCTGCGGTGCCCATGGTAATGTCCGTGGTCTTCCGCTTTGGAAACACAATTGCAACGATATTGAACATCTTCTTTAAGAGCTTGATGTTCCCCAGGGATTTGTTCAAGGCCATCACAGGTTGGAGGCCATGGCTAGTAGGTTGGAGGTCATCGCTCTTACTATAGCTAAACAAGTAGCTAACAAGACATGATCTTCCCAGGCTTCCACCTTTAAGGCCTCCACTGCTTCAGGCGCGCAGCTTCCTTGATGCGCTTGGTCAAAAGCCTCCGCTCGTCGTGTGTGACCAAGACAAGATCATGTCTCGTGGCAAAAGCACAAGATTCCAACCAAATCACCATCCCACTATGATCATCACTTCATTTCTCCCGGGATGTTGTGCTATTCTCCGCTCCGCGGTTTTCCAACGAAAAGCACGTTCCGTCGCTGGGCGCGTGCCTGGAGGCCATGGGAGGCCATGCTTCCGCAGCACACGTGGCACATGGCGTCGATGGACACAAGACCCGTCGATCGCCCCCCGATGGGGGAAGCCTCGGACTCTGCACTGCAAGGTATACCGGTGGTACTAGGTGTTATCCATTCAATCTAGTTGAAGCCAAATGAGCCAGGAAACACTTTGGAAAAAAGCAGACTCTTTCTGATTCTTATGTTCATGAATTAATCAATTCCGAGACAGAGACACCTTTAAAAGGCATTCTATTGGAGTCAGTCATGTGGTTAATGATGGTGAACGTGAAAAATGTGACAAGGCGCAGGACTGGCCCGCCGAGCCCAACTGTTTGCTGTTCGGACATGTCGACTTCGACTGGAGCCACGCGCTCGTCTCGCGGATCACAAGATCGTCTCGAGCACGGTGATCGTCTCGATCTTTGAGGCGTTGGCACTCAAGCTGTGAAGGCAAGGACAAATGCAGGCCCATCTCACGTCATGTGGCATGATTGCCCATTTTTGGTGTTTCATTTGCCAGGTGCTTTTGTTGTCTTTGAACCCCAAATGTTCTCCCCACCGTGCCTCCCAAGCCGCTGGGACAACTGGGGTGCATAAACTTCCAAGTACCTCTCCGCAGGAACACCGAGCCCGCTTGACTCCATGATCCGCGGTCGGTCTAACTGAGGCGGGATGAATCTGTGAGGAGATACTAAGCTCTAGGGCTCCACCTTCTAAGAAGGTGGGACTGGGGTGGGTTTAGAGGGTCCAAATACCTTCTGAGGAGGTACTTGGAGCCCTAGGGAAGATGAAATCCCATTCAAAAAAAGGCGTTTGGAAGGTCGTTCGCAGATGCTTGTATACGGGGTAACGACACCCATACAGAATAACAGGATACCGACTTTGACATTTGATTCAGGGCACGATCAACGAGGTTGTCCAAACATGTCAATGTTCACACATGTTAAAGCAATTATTCCACAGCCCAGGCAAATTAGGAATCTGTTTGTTCATGTTTTTTCCTTCATTGATATCAACTCGATGATACATCTTCCGGACGTCATCCCAAAAAAAAACGTGTCCCAAAACGTTTGCTGATGTTGCTTCTCACGTCTCACCTCTCCACTTCTGCGTAGCTCGTGTCAAGGTCGTGTCATCTGTCGTCGGGCACTTGGCCAAAACGATGCCACCATCCCAGATCCTTAAGCCAGTCGCCAGCTTGGCCCTCAGAGCGATGTCAAAGATACACTCACGGGAACCCTGTTCCCTGTTCCAGGAACCCCACAGAAAACGCCATAAAACGCCAAATCGTCTGCCGCATGTTGTTCGCCCAAATCATCTGCCCGTTTGGGCTCCAGTCGTACCTCCTCGGGTAGGGTATGAGACCCGAACATGACACCCACCCCAGTCCCACCCAACCGCAACGAAGGTACGACTGGAGCCCAAATGGGATCCAAAAGGGCTGAGTCATCTGAGTCCTCCGAACTTCCAAGGGACACACACTGGACCGAAAGCAGCCGCGAAGCGCGACCGGACCGGCTCGGTCGTCCGGACGCGTTGGGCGGATCCACCGTCAACAGCAAAGGCCTCGGACAGGGGCGGTCCGCGGCGGGGCCCCGTTCGGTGCGCGTCCGATCGCCCCGGACTCGGTGAAGACGATGCCCCTTTGTTACGAACGTAGCGTCCTCTTGTTCCTGTTTATGCCAGGTCCAAAAAGCCGAACACTCATGAAAACTCCCTGTGCGATGAGAGAAGGGACTGCAGGACGCATCTATTCAGGAACAAAAAAGGCAAAAAGACATGGCAATATAGCGATTCATTATGAATCGACTGCTCTTCCAGTGCCAGAATGCAAGCCACCAACCGGGCCGACCATGCCCCAAGAACAACGAAGATCCTTCTCACGTGCCCTCATCCAACCGGAGCGACCTGCCGTTGATCTTGAAGTCACCCTTGAAGTTATACATCAGCATAAAGGACTGCAGAACGACAGCAGAACGGGCCGACTCTGAGACTCCTGGTCATTGAAATGACCTCGCTAAACACGAAGAACTTTATGCTTTCGAAACAACTTCAAGACTTGGTCCCGGAACGACTTGGGGGTTGAAGCAAACCTTACACATAGCATAGTGCAGTATGGTCGTAGCTATCATGTTGCGCACATTCCCTGTTCTACTCTGCAGCTGTGGAACACTCCTGGAAGTGTTCACCAAAAAAGGAACGAAGCAAAGGATGCTCCAATAGCCTTTGGATTCATGAACTGCCGTCTTGTGGTCGTCGAAGATGTCCCTTGAGAAACACCTCCTCCGCCTGGTGCCGAACTTGTGCTGCACCCGCGCTTGGGCGACATGCGTGAAGGTCTTCTTGTGTGCATATCTGGTGTCATGTTGTGAAGTTTGTGTGACAGGTACAATGAATGTAAAGTAGACCTATGGCATGATCAAAAACACTCTTATAACATATACTTCCAATGTACTTCTAATGACTTCTACAAACACTATCGTTTTCTGAGTGAACCAAAGCACCGTCGAAGCTTGCCTGGCATGTTTGCGCCACTTGCGGCACTCGGAAGTGGAGCGCACTGCACCGGCCTGGCAAGACTGGCACCTCCAAGTCTGGACAGGAATTCGAACGATGATTTCTGGGCTTCTGAAGAAAAGGAGCATAAGTATATAAGGTACAATAATCAAGTATACAATTTATATAATACAGAAGCCTCGAGGTATAATAAGGATACTAATTGAGGCATAATACCACTTATAGGTGTTCAAGGAATCCTCGACAGGCTGTCACTCTGTGTAGATCAGGCGGATTTGGCTGAAATGCTTTCCTTTTTGCCAGGTGTTTTGCACTGCTTTTCCTGTGTGCATTGCCCAAGTGGACAAGTGGATTTCTCAGCTTGTTTTACACAAGCTCATGACAAGCATAAAGGGGAACATGCACATCTTTGAGATTGAAATGCCCGGTTCTCCTTTCCAGCTCCTGTAAGCCCATTGTAGCCGGAAGACTTGGAGGAAACACTCGGAGCTGTGCACCCCAAGTAAAGACCGATCAGTTGTCGGATCGAAGTTGGACAGCTGGAGTGCAACTCAGTGCTCTCTGAAGATCTCTCTAAAGTACCTTGTTCATCCAAGACATGTGATAACAAATTGATCTATAACTAATAGACCTGGAAACCCAAACAAGCAAAACACAGATGGCATGGATACTTCCCCAAACAACCGACTTGTTATGTCCAGGATCTCAACTGCCATAATAATATTGGAATCTATTGGAACAACCATTTGTTTCTGGTTGTTTGGGTTTCCATGTCAATCAAAGTCAATTCAAATCGATCTAATCTTATAACATCTGTAGGATGTTGATGGTCGCTGCTGATCGGCTGCCGCCTTGCGCTGTAGGTCGGCTGGCTGAAGGAGGGCTGGCCCTCGATCCAAGAAAATAGAAAATGGTGACGAAACGCGCACACACAAACGTTCCCCCAAAATTCCCCCCCCCCAACACACATGTCACGTATTTTTGATCATCCGATCCGTCTTCTTGAGTTCGTTTTGTCACACTTTCAACACGTCACATTGTAGTTTTCTGGGCCATGTGCAACATGTGCACGTAACATTGTAGTTTTCTTCAGCAAACGTGCGGAACACATGCGACCCTAGCAGCCTCGCTCTGGAAACAGGTTCCCTATGGGACCCCCGACCAGCATCGTATAGACGGCCCGCCCTGGAACAGCTGTCGGCACCCTCGCTACAGCCACGGTGGGGCGCAGGGGCGCCGGCGCCACCGCGGTCGGTGGTGCATAGACCTCAGCGGCTGAAGAAGGGAATCACACTGTGATGGCATAACAAACAGCCTCTTGCATTCATCGCATGATGGAAATGTAGCGCCTTCATCGCATATCGACAGGTCATTTTCCAAAGACAACACCTGGGAATGTATGTGATTTCCTATAGAAAATGTATCAACGCATGGAAAATGTGTGATTCCTCGCATCAATGCACAGTGGGCCTATAGGCGGAAGAGGACAAGGCTGAGGCTGCGACCTGCTGTGGATAAGCGGGGACAGCAGCATATCTGGGATATGCCAAGGACGTGCCAGCGAAAGTCGCGGTGCCCGCCATTGGGTGCCCGTCCATGTTCGTTTCTGATGTTCTTCCAAATTAAAGCGACCTTTGAAAAGCACATCTTTTCTGTATAGAACCTGGCAGCCAGACAGTGGATCTTCATCTCAACATGTGTCTTGCCCGGCAAACATGTCAGTATGTCTTTCCGTAACTACATGCAACAAACCCATTTGGTGACCCATGTATGGCTCTTGCCAACGAAAGGCTTGCGGCAATGCACCAAGCAGTGAAGTATTTCACATCCGAATGGGTTCACAGGGCTTCAGTGGTTCACTGATGGAACTCTCGCACCTCGCTATCGCGAAGTGTGGTTTCCGGCCATGTTGGAATCACATCGGCATCAAAGCATCAATCTATAGTCCGACACATGTCCCCGTGCCACGGGCAGACTCCATCCACGGTCAGATTCGATCCACTCAACATCCCTGAACCCATCGCATTTGCTTCTGGCCAGCAGTGAAACGTGGCATCTCATAGCCGGTGAAACGGTCGACGTCTCTCCATCCGCCGTGACGTCTTTCGGCGGATGAGGCATGGAGACGTAGATTGAGACCCATCCGACCCCCCCAAAAAGCATCCATGAATACAATCTGTAACATAAGCACAATCTCAAGAGACGTTCGGAGAACAGCGGCCATCAAGAATCATGAAATATGAAAGTCCCTATATAGTTTGAGTTGGCTCTTTTTTCAGGGTCGCCTACAGTTGAATTCACATCTCAAACTGAAAGGTGGCATCTTTTGCCTCCCGCATATAAATCGTCGCGGAATCCATGGAACATGACGACATGTATAGAACTCCTTCACAACTGCAACAACCTTCGCTTGCTTTCACCTTCCCTGTGCACACTATATCAAAGACTGGAACCAACTCACCGGCCTTGCGTTGTGGAACAGGTAGCACCGTGCTACGCACCTTTGACCCCCGCCCTACTCGCCTGACCTGCCGCTAGCTCTCTGGTGTAGGGTCCTCGACTCGGAGAGGGGGCGACCGTGCTGGATGGAGACATGGCCCGGGGGCCTGCGATGGGGTGTGTAGCGATGGCCACAGGAGCGGAGGAAATCCCGAGGTTCGGTTCAAACATGATCAGCCCTATCCACCAGGGCCTGGCCAGGGGATCTTCAAAAGGAGACACCCGGTTCAGTATCCCAAGATGTCGGCAGTCTTTCAGATTCTTCCACCCGACTTACTTGGCGCAGCTCCATCTCAAAGAAATCCGCCCCCTTCGTACGTGAGACGCTTGTAACAAGGCTTAGTAACAAAACATCTATACTGAGAAATCTCAAATCATCCAGGTCCACCCAGTGGTAGGCATACAACGTTATACGCATGTCGTTCAACCCACCCAGTGAATTGCCGTGTAAAAGTTGAGGTCAACAATCTCAAGCGTCTAGACGCTTCGTCCCACCTCGTCCAAAGACCGTTGCATCTCCTGGCCCGTGAGTCATAAGTGATGCAGCCCGTGGAAGCATTTTCCAATCTAAAGTTAGTATCCATTTTAAGGTCTACCATTCTGAGCATGCCCTTGTCTGACCTACTTCTTGCACATTGGACTGCTGCATAGGACCAGTTCTTCAGTTGTTTGGATGAAACCCCACCTGAAACGGCAGTTCTGTACAGCAACTCTTGAAGCGCACATGTTTCTCTCCCCACCCGTGACGCGTGCCGCGTCCTGCATCTGCTGAAGTTGCTGCTGTCGCTCCTTCAATGCCTTAAAAAAGTCTTTCAGATTCACCCAGATGGTGATGGGACAAAAGAAATAACAACGCACCACCTTTGTGTCTTCGCTCTCATTTTTATATATGTTCAGTGATTGGTTTCCTTTATCTTCAACATCGACGACTTCATGCGCATCAACAGATCTCCGACCGGCCTCCATCTTGGCTTGCATCGATGAAGCCCAAGCATCTCCACAGACCTTTCAGGAGTTCATTTAATCGTCGATGATGAGGAGACCGGGCCTCTAAATGGATTCCAAAGAAGTCAGTTAGATAGGTACTTTCACACGAATTCTGGAACGTCCTCGGTGAAGTGCCTGGATGGCCCCCAGGTTTGAACGACCATGTTATAGAAGACGAAACAGGGTGGTGGTTCACTCCACTCCACTTGAACGATGATTTCAGGGAGCGAAAAGACTACGACGTTCTTCCACAGTCTGCTTCAGGCGAAGCACGCTCCGAACATGAAGATGGATCATGTGGCAGCACTCGCACCAAAGAAAGACCACCCAAAAAACGGTCCAGGTGCACCTCGGAACAAAGCCTCTTTGGACTCGCACCAGATGGATCCGCCCTTTCAACGGCATACCTGAAGATATCGAAGAGGCATCGGTGGCGCTGCGAAACAGCCGACGGCGCGCATGCCACGCACGCCAGGTTCGCACGGCCCAGCTGGAAAACTTCTGGTGTCAAAGAGTCAAAATTCCTGAAGCTTGGAATAGCCTGGAACGGTGCACCCGGCTGCGCCAGTTTGGTGTAACGTGGAGGCTGCGTTCGGTGGTTTCTCTTCCGGGGCACTGTGCATAGAATTGCTTGAAGCACCTGGAAAACGGAAGGAGATTTGTGCGGGCATGAAGATGGGACAGGCGGGTTTGGAATGGAACACTAACCTAGCTTCATGCCAGAAGAGGTGCTCTTCCACCAAGGATATATAAGTCAGTCCTACCACCAAACTCCACCAAATATTTGACTAGCTTATCTTGCACATTCTTGCACAACATTTGCCAACAATATTGAAGAGGCTTCAACATTGAAGGCCTCTTGAATCAACACCAGTCAGTGCGGGTTACTAGGCATCGGGCTGATAGCAACAAAGCCTCTCCTCAACAGGTCCAGCGTCTGCCCTAGCAGCGCCCAGTTGAAGCAATGAAGTCGTGGGGTAGTGTGTGGATGGGAAGAAACCATGGCAATCATGGCGAGATATATTCGGTCAGTGCAGCTTGAAGTTCGCGTTGCTGTAGCTTGCCGTAGACTGCCTAATTATACTACATTAGACTTAACTCATGTCACCTATCGTTAAACCCGAAATGGATGAACCACTGATGTGCTGGTATCAAATGAAACGATCCTCAAACACCACTTTCGATCCACTTGGTCACTTGGTGGCCACACGTCCCAGCACCCTGGCTCTCGACCGGCAACTTGGCTGGGGTGCTTGCACCTGAGGTACTTCGAAAGCCGCAGGTCGCCGCAAAAGGAGTGGGATCTTGTGGTTGTAGGTCTCTGGAATGAGTCATGAGCAGCTCAGAGTTCGCTGTGGCTGTGGAAGTGGCGAGGTTTGATGAGCTTCCTACCTTAATTAAGGCAAAAACACGGAGATCGCTAAATTACAAAACACATCTAAACACCCTGATGAACTGGAGCAAGCGAAAGGCTTGAAGTCTAACAACACGTCGATTGGCAATGAAGAAAGCGGATGAACATGTGCAAAACAAAACACGCTTTGGCCAGCCATCTTCCGCTGTCACTCACCCCCATCCAGCTTGTTCGGGGTCCGACGCTCGAGGTTCACGTCGTGGTCTCCCAAGCTGGCCCAGAAGGAGCCGGCCTGACAGACGCTGTCAGCGAACGAACGGGACGGTCCGTTCGGACGAGAACTGGAGCGACGAAGATGCGGAGCGCGCGCCAAGCGAATGGGTGAGCTCGTCGAAGACAAGGCGTCCATGTGTGAGACGACACCAAAAATAGGCGCTAAAAAGAAACAAAGACATCGAAGACCACTGTGTCTGTGGGGCACGGCATACAGGCGGTTTCTTTGATGTCTCCCTTCTTTTGGATGCGCCTTGGAATCAGGCGCAGTCACTTCAGGAGCCTTGTTGCCTGCAAAATGCCGTGCTGTCTGGACAGTGATGCTCTACTCCTCCCTCTCTCTCTCTCTGTGGTGATCCAGAAGGAAAACTCTGTCACTGGCCCGGATCAAATAAATCCGTAATTACCTTGTACTCTCCAATAGGTGGACCCATTTTGTGACAGCACCATTTCAAGGAAACACATACAGTAGCTATACCTCCAGCTGCTTTCGGATGGCAAGCACTCAATTCCTTTCAACGTCCCTCCTTCGCATCGCCGAGTTCCCACCTTGTCGCCAGGCCATGAGGGCTTCTTGGAAGCTGGCAGCCGAGTCCTCACGGCTGGGGCTGGCGTGGGAGAAGAAGACCCACAGGATCGCCCATTTCGCTGGGTGAAATTTCACCATACCCTTCGGACTTCAAGGGACCCGGAACAAATCGGAGGTCAATTGGAACGCATCTCATGGTGGACATTCAATCGTCCAGACTTGGTTTGATGGGTCTTGAACCCAGCCCGAATCTACAGCACTGGCTTTATAATTCTATCATGAATCCAACCCCAAAGACCAAGCCAACACAAATGAACCGGAATTTCCCCAGGCATCGCCAGGCGCTGCTTTGCACATCTGCACAGGTCGGTCGCCGAAGACCGTCGTTGTCTTCAGATGTCGCGGAGCGCTCCTCCTCGCTGAAGTGGCCCTCCAGCAAATTGGATACACCTACGGCTGTTGAGGCTGTCTCGCTGTCTTGGCGCCGCGCTGAGCTTGGCGCGTAAAGCGGAGTTGGGACTGGATTGGGAGTTCGGACCGCTGCTGGGTGATTGACATCCAAGCCAATTCGAAGAGTGAGGTGCAACTTAGAAAAGATATGACAAACATAGCAAAAGCATGCAAAAGCAAAGACATGCAAAGACCCAAGGAAAAGAAGGTGCAGAGAAATGGAGTTGGTCGCCGAGCTCCGCACTGGTTCCCTGCCCTTCTCCGGGCATCGCTTCCTGCTTTTGGGGGGACGCTTCTTGTGCGGCCTCACGTGGCACCCGCGATCAATCACATTTGCAAATGAGGAGAAACTCTCTGATGCCTGGAGATATGAAACATACAAATAAATATGAACAACACATTGTACTTGAAGCAAAGTGTTTTTGTGCACGACTCATTGTTGGGGCTGAGTTTGAGGATCACATCTGGGACAACATCGAAATCGATGTGTCTCTGGGTATCTCATGCAGGTCCAGCAAGTTCTCCCCAAATGCGCCCTGTCCGCTGAACTGAACGCTGGTGAGTCGGTCCGGCCTGAGATGTAAAGCTCACCTTTCGGCCCAGCTCCACACCTGGTGGAGACCGGGACCGCAGGGTTGGTCGGGGCGTGGCGAGCCGCAGAGTGCTCAGAGGTCGAAAAGATATGCGTCCCGCGCAATGGGTGCAGGTTTGACACTTGCGTTCCCTTTTGTTTCAACAAGTGTCCTGGCATGCGGACTGCTCTCCGCTGGCTCGACCGCCGAGAGCGCGCATGCGGACCGCAAGTGAGGATGTTTCAACAAGCGTCGGCTTCTCATCGTCTCTCAGTAGTTTTGGGAGGCCTTTGACTCAGACTCGGATGTGTCCCACTCAGTCTCGGATGTCACCTCCGCTCGAGAAACCGCTTCTCGGGTTCCCAGCGCTTCGCAGGCTTCATTTCGGTCAAGCGCTTCCTATAGCGAACGCGCCCAGCATGGGTGGCTTGAATTTGAATCAGTTTCATCTCCCTGTTGGAAGGACAAAGGACCTGTTGGAAGACAGACGACTGGGCCAGTTGCCCATGTTTTCGGATGAACTTATAAATGGAGGCATACCATGGCATACCAGTAACAAAACATGTTTACAAACGCTCTGAGGGACGAGTACTGTACCCTGATCACACCAGTGTCATGTCAGGTCTTGCATTTCGGATTCAATATGTTCACCCTCAGGGTTCATATAAAACCCCTCAACATGTTTCAGCTGAATACATAGATGATCATTGCAATCTAAACATCGAGTGCGCTGCGTCGTGGTCCGTGCGCCTTAGCTTCAGGACGTGCCCGGCCGCCATGCCCAGCTGCTGCATGTGCTGCTCCTGGCAGGGCCGCCGCTTTGTATCGAAGCGTTTGGCATCCAACATCCTCAGAAGGGAAAGGACGCTACTAGGGGCTCCTGGCATCGCTACTAGGAGCAAGAACGCTACTAGGGGCTCCTGGCATACTCCTAGGAGCAAGGATGCTACTAGGAACAAGAGGACGCTACTAGGGGCTCCCTTCTCGGATGGTATATGTGGATCCTGACAGATTCCTTTGGCATCTGGCAGGCTGAGATGAAGCAGATGGCGTGAGGTCCATTCGCTCCTCCATCTCTTTCACAACGTCCATGCAATCAAAGCCATGCTCCTGCACTGTGGGAAGAAATTGATGGAACTTCCAGGAAGTCAAGGAGTCTCTCGCAGATTGTGATTAAATCATGATAGACCACACTTCAATGATTTGCATGCGCACATGGATATTGAGACTGAACATTGAAACCAAACAACACGTCTGCTCCATAGCAAACTACACGTCTGCTCCATCAAGCTAATCGAAAGGATCCCATCGAAACCCAAGGAGTCCATTCCCCAAATCGAAACACCAATCCAAGGAGTCCATGAAGAGGCTCATATATCTTTCCAGCTTCAAGGAGCACAAGAAGGCCTCGCCGCGCTCACGTTCCCGTGCCGCGGTGTGTGAACTGACCCCACCGTGCCGGGTTCCGAGAGGAGCGATACTGGAGAGTCGACTGGTCTCCATGTTCTCTTTGAACTCAAAAGGATAGGGTTCTAAACACATGGGGACCGATGGTGCGAAATCGCGCATCTGATATCGCGCATCTAAATGAGGGTGCAACTCCGACCTAGCAATCAAGTCAAATGAGAAAACACAAAAGTATAACAACAACTTCAAACAATGAGATGCTTCACACATATGAGGCGCAACGTTAAGGTGAGGAAATTGTACTGGGCTAAACACAGGCCACCAGTGGCTCCAGAAACCAGCGTTTTGTGGGTCAAAGCACCAACTGTTTCACAGGAGCCACATCTCCGCCATGTCGCTTAAAATATAACCAGTCGTCAGCCAAACCACTCTGGTTTCGCTTCACACAACACGTCTCCAAAATTCTCAATATTGAAGACTCTAGCAGCAGACGCATGCTGAAGCATTCTTGCTTGGTCCGCCTCCACTTCCAAGGCATCCCTGTCTTGGTGTTGCAGTGCCGCCTTCAGCCGCGATGAGGCATCTCACTCCGATGGTGGGCGTTGCCGGCATCTCACGGAGGTGGGGTGGATTGATTGGGAAGGCCCAGTGTCAGGTTTATTTTATGAACTGTGATGTAGCTGCTGGTGGGCGATGCATCCATAGAGATGGGAACCTCCAGTCCTCCAGTGCCCAAATAACGTCCAAAGGGTCTGCTTCAAGCCTGTCCTACAAACCCTGTGGAAAACAAGCAATTGCAGGGTTCTATAAAACCCAGGTGCCAACCTGCAAATTTGAGGCGGCGCCACCAAGTGCAGCGCTTACTTTGGCGGCTTTGTCCTGGCCGAGGTCGGGCCCCAGCGATAGGGGTGTAGCAACTATAGCATGAATAGCGATGGCCTCCAACCTAATAGCAAAAGGAACCTAATAGGAATGGCCTCCAAACTAGTAGTGATGGCCTCCAACCTGATAGCAATGGCCTCCAACCTATAGTGTTGGGCAAAAACTGGACGCTTGGGTGAAATCTGCAATTTTCATGAGAATCATGCTGGTCTGCCAATCTCAAGGTAGATCTACCGGCGTTTCTCCTTTCCGGCGTGAATTACTATTGTATACTATTATTGTCGTGTCAACATCAAACCTCAGTGTACAGGCACATGAAGCAATCCAAGATATTCTCAGCCAGCAAACTAATCCTCCCAATTCTATAAAATGCTCAAAGCCAGTGCAACAAATGAGTGCCTCTCTCCTTCCGAATTCCCACACTTGATTGACGCATCTCTGTTGCCTCTGGACTCTGCTCAGGACTAGCCAGCAGCTGCGACATCACGGGAGTGGCCTAAGAAATTCATCACCCACAGAGGTACCGTGGATCTTTTCAGCAAAACACGCCGAAATGCGGCGACTTTTCCCACAGAGGGCGTCTCTTCTCATCTATCTTTTGGCAAGGCTCTACTTTCATTTCATCATGTCTGGTGTTTTGAGACATGTCTGGTCATGTCTATGCCGTGCTTGTGCTAAGACATTTCGGATATCTCTCCCTTCTATGTCCCCTCTTCTCTTGCCTCGTCGGTCGGTGTCTTGGCCTCCTTCTCTGGCCTTGGTTTTTTGGCAGTCGTGGGGCGCCCTGGAGACCGGAGTAGGACAGGAC